GTTTAACAACCTGAAATTTTGCTAACTGTATGCCTCTAATACCCTGATTCTTTGCCATCAGTATTAAACCTTGTCAATAGGAGAATTATAATAGCTAATAAAAAGCCTGCTGCCTTCCTAAGAGGAATCTAGCAACTCTGAGACAGATGAGTCTGCTGGCAGAGCCCTGCTTCCCTGCTCTTACAGGCAGACACTGGTGTTTAGAGATGTCTAGTCAAAGAGCTTATACAACCTACAGATTTGTGATTTGGGCTCTCTGCAGTATATCAGAAAGGGGGATGGGTGAATAAAATGATTGATGGAGGCAAGGACATCAAGACAAGCTTAGAAATAATAGAAATTGACTTTTTATCTCTAAGGAAATGAGAAGTGGAAATGCATTATCAGTGCATTGGAGAAATCCAAGCAAGGATGAATACATTACCAGAGATTTCAGATTAATCATCATGCAAGTTTTGAAGTTGGCTGCATGTTAATGTTTTCAGAGTATGTGATACTACCCCATGGTCAGCTGAATCCCAGTTATGTAGAGTTTTCTGTGCTGGATCTGACCATTGCCTGTGAGATTTACAGTCCTGCTTTCAGCAGTGGCCAATGTCCAGCTGACCAGTGGGGAAGTTCCCAGTCTCTGTAGTAAAATACTGGTGAGATTGGGAGCCACTGTACATGGAAAAAGAAGATTTTCCTTTCTGGGCCGTAGCACAGATACTGCGCTAGTTACTAGTGCCTTATGGCAGAATGCAAGCTGTATTTATGCATTACCATCTGTAACTCTGGCTATCCTTGGCAGTCCCTCCTATGATACTGTTCTTTCAGTGAAGTTGTGGTTTACTTAAATTCATTTGTTCCACTATATAGGGTGTAATGGATGAATTTGGTGTTGCCCAGTTATTAGTAGCTCAACTCTGTTAAGCAATACTTGTTATTGGGAATACCTCCTATATAACATATTCTTTCAGAAAACTTGCTTGCAGAAGCTCTTGTGTATTGAATCCAACAGGAATAATGCTGTGGAGATGCCAGTGCTGGTGTCCTTGCTATGCTTATCACTCTGCCATTTGCAGACCTTTTTCTGGTTCCTTTTCTTCTGAAGGAGGCACAAAACACCAGTTTTATCTGTTGAAGACTTGAGCAGGCAAGGAGAGCTTGACTCTACCTCTGATTTTGGCTGCCGTGTGGCAACTGGAGGTGGAGAGGAAATTAGGCTTTTCCTTCCCTTGTCTCTTACACCCTGTTCAAGCAGCCAGCTGGAAATGGAACACAGTGGAATTTGTCAAAAAAGATTAATGGAAATTGTAACCAAAGACACAAATGTGATGGACCTTACTTAGCAAGGAAACCATGTTTGTCTGAGTTGTAGAGAAACAAGTCAGGCATGCAAGTTGATTTAGTCCAGGACTGGCTGTGGATCCATCTCAGGGGAGGTAACTGCAGGACTGGAATTTCAATGAGTAGTTAGTGGTGGTGATGTGATTTTAAGAAATTATGACCAAAAAAGGTTCTCTCAAAGTGTCTTGTAATCCAGTACACAGTTTGGATATTTGCAGCTGGGTATGGACTGGAAAATGTAGAGTTAAATCTGTCTGGAGTTTTGGTCTGGAGAAACTGTGGAAATAGGAAAGAATTAATTGTGTCTTGGTTGGAGAAAATAACATGACTCCTGATAAAATATAGGGTAGATTAAATATAGGGAGTCCTGTGGATGCTGAGACTTGGGTACAAAATAAAACACAAGGGTCATATGCTGACCCTTCTTTGAATTTTATCAAGCTGCTCAGTGAGCAGCAACATTAATGGAACGTGGATTCCTGTGGCTTTGTGCCCACAGTTAAATTTACTGGTCTTTAACAAGAGGTAAACATTGATTCAAGATTTTCCTTCAGTTGGAATAGGACACACATACATATTGATAGTGGATCTGGCAGTGCTGGGCTTGCAGTTGGACTTCATCATCTTACAGGTCTTTTCCAGCCTAAATAATTCCATGATTCATATTCACATGTGGAGCATGGATGAATAAGCCTTACTTGCTTAGGAAAAAAGGATAAAAAGAAGTCAGTTAAGTAAAGGAAAATCTGTTGGGACAAAAGAAAACATAGTCTAATATCTGGTCAGTTTTATAGTATATATATCAGATACTATGTATCTGATCTAACATTACAAATACTACCAATGTCAACAAAGATAACTTCTAGTGTCTTTTTTTTTCTTCTAATTTTGATGTGATTTAAAAAACCCCACTCATCTGTCAATAGTTTGGCCTAATGTTTTGTTCCCTCCCGAGTTTCTTTTGGATTTATCAGTTTGGTGAATGCCCTATCAAATATTTTGAGACCCTCGGATGCGAAGAAGTGTAAAATCTATAAAAGACAACCATTAAATGCTGTTTATCAGCTGCTGGCTGCAACACGAATCTTCTGCTGTGTGCTCTGTGTCCTGAAACAGTTACGTGGTGGGAGTACACAATGGAGTTTATGTCTGGGGATGGGGAGGCTTTGGAATAGGGTTATCTGCTTTTGGACTGTGGTCCTCTGGGGAGCTCAGAGATGCGTGGAGGCAGAGCATCCGTGAGTGCATCTGGCATTGCAGCCTCTCCTCACCAGGTTGTGCCCTTTGTGTCGAGATATGTGAGCAGAATTTTGGCAAAAGACAATTCTATGAAGACAGTCTTTCCAAATTTAACCAGAGGGCTTCCTGATGGGATGGGAAATTAAGAATTGCTTATGCTCCCATCCTCTCCAGCTGCTGGGATGTGATGGTGGTGGGGTGGCAGCCACGGGGAGAGCCTGTTAAGTTTAGAGGGCTGGTGGTGTCTCCACTCTTCCAAACTGGAGAAGAGGCAGGGTGTTGGGGAAACATGAATACAGTGGGATGAGCTACAGTGAACCCTTTGGTTCCCAGGGGTTTAGGATGTCCCCTGTGTTACTGTCTGTGCCATGGTGAGGAAAGCTGAGCTGAGTCCCCAGGCAGAGGGGCTGTGGGAAGCCAGGGTGAGTTTATGGAATGCTCAGGCTTTTCTCTGTGTCTCCTGCTGCTTATAGCGAGGGCACCTCCCTTTGGGTAGGAAAACAAATTTTAAAAGTTGACATTTAGGCTCAAGAATATTTGTGATGGATTCAAATAAGTGCTTTGGGCTTAAAAGTGTTAGATTTCACAAAATCTATACTGCTATTTCTCCCATTGGTTGGCTTTTAAATATTTTTAAATCTGCTTTTCTATACATAATCCAATAATCTCCAGATTATTTTTTTCTAAGTTCATGCTTATAAAGGAAAAAGAAAAACTTTTTTTTTTTAGTGCATGTTCCTAATTCAATAGAATAATGTTTGCATAATGTACATTCTGGTAGTGTGTAGCTCATGCAAACCCAGTGTTATTTTATGTGAAAATGAATCTGTGGACCTTAGTATTATGTCTGCAGTTGTCATAACCATTCATGGCTATTATGAGGAAAATTTGTAAAAATATCCTGAATTTTTTTCCCCCCACAAGAGCTGCTGAAAGGAACATTTCCTATAATTTCTATGCAGCAATGATTGTTAATAGTCATATTTTAATAGCTTTTTAGCACCATTGTTAGTTAGTCAACTTTTTAGCACCAGTTAGTTCCACAACTACAGTCAAAATAAAACTGGAAACTAACAGTAAAAAGAAAGAAAACACTGAAAATTACTGCAGAAAAAAATTTTAGAACCTCTATGAAGGGAGAATATTGTTTCTGAAACAAAATTAGGAATGTTTGCGGTGTCAATGAACATAAAATCCCACAACATTGTGTTTAAGTAAAATGGGTATTTCCTTCTCTGGAAATGCCTTACTAAAATGAGGGAGGGAAGAATAAAACTATTTTAGGGCTAGCTCATAATGTGTTGGTGCCAGTCCATGCATATAAACTGTAGGCACTGACTGAAAGAACAGATGACTGAAGCGATGTTTAAACCTTAGTTCAGCCTCCTAGAAATACTCCCTGCCCATATTTTGTATTTGCAGCAATGGATGCCTGTTACTAGGATGTGCCAAACCCACATATTTGCATTTTTAGTAGACTGAAATTCATAGAATTATAGAACCGTTTGGGTTAGAAGGGACCTTAAAGGCCATCTCGTTCTAACCTCCTCTGCCACTGGCAGGAACACCTTCCACTAGACCAGGTTGCTCAAAGTCCCATCCATCCTGGCTTAGAACACTTTCAGGGATGGGGCATCCACAGCTTCCCTGGGCAATATCCCTAGATATTCTTCTCAATATCTAATCTAAATCTGCCCTTCTGTCATTTTGAACCCATTACCCCTTGTTCTATTGCTACACACCCTCATAAAAATTCCCTCTCCATCTCTCTTGTAGGCCCTTTGATAGACCTGTTTGATATTATTTGAATGTGTAAGTTCCTTTGACACTCAACAGTTCCCATATCATGCTAAATTTCCATACGAGTTCGTTAATATCCACACTCCCAGCCGTGATGTGGCACGTGGTGTACTATGAGATGTGACGGGTGCAACTTGCCCTTTCCCAGCGGCTCCTGACACTCTCTGTCCCTCATCCCAGTAATGCTGCCTGTGCTCTGCAAAACCAGCTTGGACCTGTCAGGAGGAAAAAGTTACTTATCTCAAGCAAGAAAGTTGCCATCAACTTTAGGCTCACACACAGTTTAGCATTTAAAATTCAGTTTGCAAGTTAATTTAGGGTTGATTCCAAGATACATATGAAATAAAAATTGAACATGGTAGCTTGCCCAGGTGTTTTGAATAAATGAATCCTTTCTAAATTGTTAAAACATTGGTGCTTACGTCAGTATTTTGGGGAGTAAGAAGCTGCTTAAATTGCTAGGAGTTATCCTATTCCATCACGATTTCTTTTCTGATGCCTGCTTTGATTTCAGTTACCTCTGAAACGTCATGATAGAAGTAACCACCATGAGCGACTGCTGTCTAACACATGGAGGATTTAATTGTACTTTGCCACTGACAACAGCCCTGTCTCTCTTTTTCTCTTTTCAGAATCCAGTTTTTTGTTGGGAAACGCCCAGATTGTGGACTGGCCCGTAGTTTATAGTAATGACGGTTTTTGTAAACTCTCTGGATACCATCGAGCTGACGTCATGCAGAAGAGTAGCACTTGCAGGTATGCCCACTGTCTGTCTGTTGGCACTTGATGCACCTGTAATTTTATAATCTGCTGGGAAGAACAGGGAGGTGTTGGAAAAAGGATTGATGGAAGAAAGGCGTTGTCCTGCGGAAACTGAAGTATTAGAACAGGCCTCAAAGAATGAAACCAGCAACTTACCCAGAACATGGCAAAGCACTTCGAAGTTTATCCTGGCTAGTATTGGTAAAAATATGCTCTAACTAATGATGCAATAAAGAGTGGGTTTTTAGGTTAACTAATATACTTCAAAGACCTTTCTTTGCTAGGTTGTTCTGAATTCTGCTGTTACCATGCCACGAGGCAGTGGACTGTTCTGTAGCCCTTGTTGGCCCTTGTTATTAAGCACACACAGAGCGCAGTAATGCACAAAGTGCATCTTTGTTCCCAAGAGGGTGATTAAGCTGCCGATATATTTACTCTAAGCATTGCAGCTTTATGTGTTTTTCCTTTTGTTGGTGGTCTTTCAGGAGCGAGCAGCTGTGATTTGTGGTTAGACATGCATCTGCGCCTGGTCTGCTGCATCCTTTAAAAGGAGATGCTTTGGGGAAGGACTGAATCCCTGATGCGTGTGTGTGTGTGTGCACGTGTGCGTGAGCAAGGCAAATGAGGAATGGCTGAGATTCAAGTTTGTGTAGGTTTTCCCTTTCTGCCTTCAGGGACTGACCAACTCCAGGCACTGGGAGGAGGGGACTGTATGTCTGGAAGTGTTCAAGGCCAGGTTGGACGGGATCTTGAGCAACCTGGTCTAGTGGAAGGTGTCCCTGCCCATGGCAGAGGGCCGGAACTAGGTCATCTGTAAGGTTCCCTCCAACCCAAACCATTCTGTGATTCTGTGATTCTATGATCTACAGTCCTAATTTCTGGGAGATGGGTGCTGCCATACACTGATGATTGGCTGGTGCTGGTGGGAGTGGGGTGAGCAGTGAGCCTGTCCCCGGATGGCAGTCATTGCTTACTCCAGAAAGCAACACATGCTGATGTGTAGTCAGTGCTCTCATGTGCAGGGAAGAGGAGGAAGCCTTGGGGATGTAGGGTTGCTCTGTGCAGCCAAGTGTCCTCTGATGGGAAATAGACAGGAGATGGGCATGTGCTGCTGAAATGAAATATTCATTCACACAGTAGCAACTGAGTCGATATACTCAGTGGGGCTGAAGGAACAGCCTTATCACAGCTGTTGGATATTCATACATGCTTTCCCCTTTGCTCTCTGCCATCCTGTATATTGAAATAAATTTGCTGGGAGCCAGCACTTTCATAGCTGGAGCCCATTAAAATAATTACAAATATAGAATGTAATTTTAGGAAAATGTTGAGTAAGTGAAGGTTTAGCAATACCTCTCTGGTAATGATTCCCCTGTGCCTGTGGGTGCTTATCGTGACTGTGATAGTCTCCTATTGTCATTTGTAAGGATCCTGTTCTGACCTAATTCAAATAGGTCATACAGGTGAATTTTGCAGATGCAAATCAAGGAGGAGTTATTGTGGAAAATGGAATTGGTAGCAAAGACTTTTTTCCTTAATTTTCATTCTGTACATCTACCTCTGGATTTTGGGGAGCCCTCTCTACACTTCAAAGCATGACCAATACTGTTGTGTCTGTCTCTTGGAGAGGTTGGATGGGGCTTGGAGCAACCTGGTCTAGGTGAAGACCCCATGGCAGTGGGTTGTAACTGGATGATTTGTAAGGTCCCTTCCAACACAAACCATTCTGTGATTCTACAAGTAACATATGCAGATTTTTCCTGCTTCTTAGGAGACATCCTACTCTTCAGATTAACAGAGAGCTGGACAGATTTTCAGCGTGGTCTGACACACAACATGTAGCCTTCCAGAGCAGTGTCTTTGGAGCTGCTCTCTAATGAGAGATACTGAAAGCAAAATGGTCTTGAAAGCCAATGGTGTCTGGTTAGGCTTACTCAGTAGAATGTTTTTGGAGGGTTTTTCATATCTGGAGCTATTATTTGTAGTATTTTCTGAGTCAGCCTCACAGTCCATTTTTGCTGTGTTATGCCCAGATTATACATTTAACATAAAAATTGCTTTATGTGTAATGTTTGCTTTACTGCCCTAAAGGCAAGTGCTCCGGGATAAGGGTGCTGTGGTGCCACACCTTTATTGCAGGTTTTGGAAGGGTCTGCTTTTACAGCTTTTTAGTGTCAAAAATCCAACTAAATTAAAAACATGGATAAAATTTATGTATATCTACCCCCAATTCCAGTCACTGTTATTAGTGATCATAAGTGTGATAAAGGACAATTTGTAATTTTTGCAATGTTTGGTGAGTTTGCCCCTGCCTGTAAGTGCTTCCAAATCATCTTTTACCTGTGCTTTTCTCATGGCAGTCCAGCAAGTATTTGCTGTATCCTCCTTCTCACCCCATACCCCACACTGGGACTGTTCATATGTCATGTAGATGTGGCATTTATGGACATAGTTTCGTGGTGGACTTGGCAGTGTTGGGTTAACAGTTGGATTCAATGATCTTAAAGGTCTTAAAGGTCTTTCCCAACCTAAATAATTCTGTGATTCTGTGATCATTGTATTCAGTCTCAGGTAGTCTTGGCTGCTACAGATCACAGGGAGGGGGTGAAAAACTGAAGGCACTGGAGGTGTGAGTGATTTTTGTTCCAGTTCAGCCATGAGTTAGTCGTATGACAGGCTGGTAATCCCTTCGATTTTGCACTTCTCTCATCTTTGTAATCAGCAACAATGGGCCCATTGGCAGGAAAATCATTTAGAAACCCCTCAGTACAAATACCAGTCTCACTAGTTTCACAGGCACTGTAAAAAAAGGCACAGTGTACACAGAAGTCAGGCTACGTGATATTGGGTGATGGGAGTTGATAAGTGTTCTTTCTGAGTGCACATGGCACCTAAAATTGCATGGGTAGCTTGGCTGATATATAGAAAAATTGGTGTGAGTGAGTGCTAAAATGCATAGAATTTTTAGGTGGAACAACTCGTGTGCTTGTGAATCATTGCTGTGCCAAATGAAAATGAGCTGACAGTCCAGGAGGAACAGGGCATCTGTGACATTTAACCTCTATTTAACAAAAAAAAAAACCTGCCTGGAGGTGCATCAGTAAGTCAGCCAGCATCCAGGAAAACTATTGGTTTCATGCCCAGTTGTCCCCAGACATGACCATGTATGTCTTCATGAATACATTGAAAGAATAAACAGTTATAAACCACTAAAATCCAGTTTAATGTTGCAAGTAATATCAATGTTTTCTAAATATTGTTGCTTATCAGTTAAGCTGTGTGTTCTCATCCAGCCTTTGGAAGAGCAGGCATTTGACACTTGACATTCACTCTAGGCTTTGCTTTGCTTACCCTTCCTTGCACCCAAGATTTTTATAGGTACTGTTTCCACTGAAACACTTGGTCAGCATCTCTGCTCTCCCTTGTTTTGATTTACTGCCATCACAAGTGGGATTAAAAAGAGTCTGCAAGGGAAATCCTGGCTCCAGTGGAACTAGTGGCAAAATTCCCACTGTGTTCAAAGAAATGGGATTTTGCATGGTGGGTAGAGTGTGCTGGACTTGAAAAAATCTAGATTTGATACTGGGATGATACCACTGTGACCTGATTTTTGTGTGTGTGAGAAGGCCTCCTTACAATGCCAAAGGTGTTGCAAAGATACCCCACTGAGTGTGCAGTGGGACCCAGGGAGCTGCACTGTTTCCTCTCAGAAATGATGTGTGCTCTTCACCTTGCAAGAGTTTTGAAACTGTTGAGGGGTATTTTCTGTTCCTCCTGGGTAGATGTTTGTCTGTTCAAACTGATGACTTGAATGCTGTAAATTGGGTAGGGATGCCTTCTGTGCTTCACCTGTCCTGGATAATTCCTCTCAAACAACTGTTGCTGCCCTGGTAGCAACACTGCAAACCTGCAGACCCGGACCTGCTCTGATGCCCGTGCTCTGGGTCCTGACAAAGGACAGAGGAGCACAATGTGAAGCTTCAGATGAGGCTTCTCCGTTCAAGGGATGCTTTCAGAGGGAGGTGGGAGCCCAAGCATCTTAAATGACAACTGTTCTGTTTTAAAGATGTGGAAAATATCTAAGACTGTGCCTTTCTCTGAGTATTTCAGTAAGTCTTGCTTCTCTTTGATAAGCCTGTTTTCTACGTAGTAAGATTCCCAGTAGCAGAGTGGGTTTGATATTTATGTCTTGTACAGTTTGCACTCAAGGCACTTGACAAGCACTAAATAACAGAAAAAAACATGAGGCAGAAAAAGACAGAGTGATTGACTGGAGAAGTAGGAGTCCCTCCATGTGTACAAAATAGGACAGACTAAATTAAATTAAACCTGTGATAAGCAGAGATCTTATATAACTCAAACAGTGAAAAGCTCTGAGATTCCTTTGGTGCTGTTAAAAATTGCCTTCTGAAAAATGTTTTTATTGTTCCACAAGCCTTTAAAATGTCTCTTTATATGTGAGTATAATATATGATTTGGGTATTACAGGTTTACTGCAACCATAAGCTGCCTTTAATGTAAAACATAAAGTTGATTGATCATGTTCAGCAGCAGTAACTGGTATCGTCCACCTCTCAACATCAAGTAGGATTTGTCATTTTAACACTAATTAATGATGACTTTCTGTATTATAAGTCATGTAAAATCAAGCACTTCAACAAATTCTTGCTATTTTTTCCTCCAGGACTATGAGAAACATTGTTTTTAAGCCTCAAGAACACAAAAAAAAGATGCATCAGTGCATTAAAAAAGGCATAGATTAAAAAAGAAATATCAAACTCTTTTCGTTGTCATCCCATGTATAGATGTATAAAAGATTATTGACTAAAATTGGGAAATAAAGGCAGGTCATTTGAAAAAGAGCAGTAAGCTGTGTTTTGCATCTCCTTGAGACAGCTGAGCATGTTAATGATAATCAGTACATTAATGAAGTCTTGTCACTGGGTTAAACCATTTCCTGAAGTCAGGCACTGTAGTGGCATCTCCACTGCAGTGCTGTCCCAAAGGTAATAGTTATGCCACACCATTTATAGAATTATAGAGCCATTTAGGTGGGAAAAAACCTCTAAGGTCATCGACTCAACTGTTAGCCCAACACCGTCATCTTCACCACTAAACCATGCTCCCAAGTGCCACATACACCTGTCTTTTGAACACTTCCAGGGATGGTTATTCCATCACATCCCTGGGCAGCCTGTTCCAATGCCTGACCACCCTTTCAGTGAGGAAATCTTTCCTAATAACCAATCTAATCAATAGCTGTCCCCGTGTTTCCAGTGAAAAGGCACCTGTAGTAAAATCCAGATGTTGTAGTCACACCCATGCCCTGTGTCTGCCTCCATCACCCCTGTCAGGCAGCACCTTGTCCTGGGAGCTGCCTCACTGTCTCCCTCGGTTTGCTGTGCAAAGAAAAGACTCGTGGTCTGGCCTGTCATTCAGTACTTTAATGCTTGCTGAACCAGTAACCACTATGCTGTTTTATTGTTTCTTTCAGAGCAGTGGACATAAAATAAATGTTTATTGAACCTTTGGAGGTCTGTTGATCAATAGGAGAAGCTGCATTGAAACCACAGAGGCACTGATAGCTTTTCTCTTTCATATTCTCAGGATTGTCTCTTGTAGGCTTCAGCTGAAGCTCAAACTGTTTGTGAACAAAGGGAATGGGGAAAAATAAAAAAAGGCTGATCAATTAAAAGTATATTCATCCAAGTGTCTGAAAGCTTTTATCCCATGTTCCATTTTACTTCAGTTCTGTAATTGGGAATTTGCACAGAGCCGCCTTCTCTTATTTTTTAATCCAGGAAAGAATGACAATAAAAGCCTGGCTGTTTCCTTACAAAGGCTTTCAAAAGTTAGGTCAAGGGGTTGGGTTTGCTTACACCAGCTGGAAGTCTGACCTGGAAAAGAATGTGAAGATGAGATGGTCAAGTGGCAAGAAATAGCAGAGTTAAAATTACATTTTTGTATTATCAGCCTGGAGAGGGATGAGTCTCTGAAAGCTTTTTAATATTTTCCACTGAACTGTTGAAGAAATGCAGTATGCAGTAAGGGAAATGAGGATAAATTTAGTTGTTTGGTAGTAGTGCAGGCATAGCTACACATATACAGTTGTATGAGACAACTCATACACTTGCTACCTGGGCTGAATTTTCGAACATTACAGTCATTGCTCCTCATTGTTTAAATCCTACCTCTATTTATAATTGATGTTTAGTAAAAGAATTCTGATTATCTTATTGTCCCAGATGCATCTTGAGAAGATTAGATGTGTAGCCATCAGTTCAGCCAACAGCCTTTACCTGTAATAGCTTACATTCCTCCTCCAGAAGATTTTTCAAGAGGATTGAACAAAATTTGGGAGGTTTTAGAGGTTTTGTTCCATTTTCTCTGTTTTGACAGCAATCCTGCTGTGGCCTGCAGCTGTGGAGATAATGGTTTCATAAGCTGTCAGCTATTTTTCTGTAAGGATATATAACCATATATCCTTAAAGATACACTCAGAAAAAGCACTTAATGAAGCATTAAGGTGGATTTATTTGCAGTCATTTACAGTAAGAAGGTGGTCATGGTTACTCATTATTGTAGGTGTCCTTGTGACACTCTAAATATTTAAATGAAGTGTAAATCATAATTAAACCTCGGTAAATGACAATTCACAGCATCTCCAGTGCTTAGGCTGTTTAAGGTGACTGTAACAAAGTTGTTTCTTGTCTAGAAAAAAAAAAAGAGAAACCTTATTTCTTTTTCAGTTTTATGTATGGTGAACTAACGGACAAGAAGACCATTGAAAAAGTCAGACAGACTTTCGACAACTATGAGTCAAACTGCTTTGAAATTCTCCTCTACAAGAAAAACAGTATGTATATATTTGTGTATGGTGTTGGGAGTGACAATGCATATTTAAAGTATATAATAGACTAGAATAAATTTTCATTTTGACATATGGGTAAGTTTGGGGCATGATTTAGAGAAGAAACAGGTATTTTGGTTGCCACATCTCAAGGGGAGAGCTCTCTTTTCAGGAAAAGCATTCAGATTGCCAGGAATAGTAGTTGTTCAGTGCTGTCTCAAGCCTGACTCCTTCTTTCCAAAATATATTTAGTTTTGAAGATTGTTTCCCTGAAGGGAAACTCACTGGGTTGAGTGAAAAGAAATCCTGAATGAGATTCCCCCACATCCCTCAGAAAACTCCCCCATGTCTCCACAAGTGAGAACCCAGACCCTGTTTGCTGCGAATGGATGCTCCCAGCAGTGTCAGGATGCCTCTGTGGTGTGTGAACCAACACATAGGAGCTCTGGTGAGAGTACTAAATTTGGCACATAGCCCAGGGATTAGTTAGAAAACCAGGGAATTCTGTAATTTAATTAGATGTAGAAGCTAGGTCCCTTCCTCTTGGTGGCATTGGGTTTGCAGGAAGTTGCCAGAACCAGAGAGGACTTTCTTCATTTTGTCTTATCCATGAGCCACTCCAGTCACATTTTCTGTCCTGCCACACGTGTGGGCTGTACTGCTTCTGGCTTATCAACTTCATAGCACATACTGAGCAAAACCCACGCTGTTGTGTGGTCTCACGCTGGACTTGTGCAGCGTGGACATCTTTCCTGAGCTGATGGTTGCAATTCCTGCTGTTGTCAATAAAAATGAACAGCCTCCTCCACTAGCACAGGCCACCTTCCCAAGATAGAAGGCTAGATCTCTCAGATGAAACATGCCCCAGAAAAGCAGGTTCCTCTACCCTGAGCAGAAAGAGTCTAGTTGGTTGGGTTGGTGGCTGTGTCAAGAACAAGCCAGGAGCAATCCAAGAACAATCCTGATGGAGATGTTTTCTTCAGTTTGGCTTTCATTGCCCTGTACAGGGTGCAGTTACTTTGGGGCTGGGGAGCTTCCTCCCTGGTTCACCTGCCTGGAGCCCAATACCTGAGGCTGTGCCCCCCACCCCCCAGGTGGGCTTTGGTGCTGTCAGGGAGCACCTTGCCCAGCTCACACTGAAGCATTTTATTGCATGCTGCGTGTGAGGATAGGGAATGGTGTGCCTCAGGAAAGAGCTAACTGTGCCTGACTGCCCCATTTCACTGCAGACTCACATAAGCCTTTCATGACATTGAGCAGAGCATCCTGGATACCTCCTCTTATGCTTTACCTCTGTTTTCCCTTTTTAGAGTAAGTCTTCCTCTATGTGTACTTAAGCAGCAGGAAATGTTGTTAGAATTCTCCAATTCTGCCTGCTGCAAGGCATTTTAGCCAACACCTTAATTAAAAAGAGAAGCAAGAGCAGCTCTGAAGTCCAGCTGTTCCTGCAGGTGTCCAGAAGAGCCCTCCAAATGACCTCTTTTTGGTTCCTAAGCATCTGGGTGTGTCTGTTCTACAGATTTTCTGCTTCTCTGCCCGTTTCCTGTGCAGCTCACCTGGATGCCCCCTCACAACAGGGGAATTTCCTGGGACAGACTCGTGTTGGGTATCTTTGCTTGTGGTGCTGCCCAGCACTGCCATGCCTTGTGTTTGTGTGATTTCCAAAGGAGATCCCAGAGATCCTGTGCTCTCCCCAACTCTGGCTTCTCTCATTAAGAGAGTCCTGCTCTAGAATGGGCCATTCCTAAAGTAAATTCCTTTCTATTTTATTTAAATATAAAAAGAGAAAAGCCTTCTCTTGGTTACTGTCCTGTAACAAGCCAGAGGCTTTTTGCTTTGGGTTGTGAATTGTCTGCTGGAGCTTGATGATGCTTCAGAGATTTATTGACCTGCAGTTGCCATAATAAAGTCTTCACCTTTGCCCAGATCTCCAACCCTACACTTTCCATAAGTTATGCAGGATTACAGAAGGACTTTGTGGAAAAGTACTCAATATTTCTTTTCAGGCTTGAGTCAGTTCCCATCCATAACATCTGTTGTCAGCTTTCTTCTCCATCACCCGAAGCCCAGAACTTCAACCTCTCACTAATGCTAATAGACTTACCTTTTGGCTCTGGTTCAGCAGCTGGTGTGCTCAGGGTTTGCTTCCATTTGTCATAATAGGAGCCTTGCAGAAGAAGGTTCTTCAAGAAACCGCCTGCTTATCCTCCAGGATGAATATTGGAGCAGATAAAAAAGAATAGTTATCTGTTGGTATGAATGTACTTCTGCAGAGTGTAGACAGGTACTCTGTGTACGGGCTTGTGTTTATCACCCACATGGAGCTTGCAGTGCTTTCAGAGCACCCTCCCACCCACACTTTCAAACCATAGGTCCAGAGGGGCTGTGTATTTTTGATAATGTGGCACAACCTTTTTTTTTTTTTCCTTATCTGTTCCTTTATGCTTTTGGCAGAGGGAGATTTTGAGGTTTTCAGGATGCTTTCCCATCCTGCTCTCCTTTGTCGCAGTGATGATCTTTAAGAGCTGATGTTCTTTGGCAGCATCCGTACGACTGCTGACTTCACACACTCCCTTGGTGTTTTAACCCAGCCTGCAGGTTTCAGGTTCAGACCTGAAAGCTTGCTACAACTTTCTTCTGCTTTGCTGCATTCCCTCTTGTATAGGGAATATACCCTATATATCTCTACCCACACAACTACTCAGCAACCATGTTAAGCATGCTTATATATATGTATATGTATATGTATATGCACATCTCTCTCTCTCTCTAATCTGATATTCACATCTCTCTCTCTAATGTGTATGTGTATATATATATATATATATGTAATACTCAGGAAAACTCTTTGCCTGCTTTTTCTCATTTTGCTGCTTCTGCAGCAGTAGCCACCTCGCCTCTGTCTCTGATTTATGTCAACACTGTTGACAAGGTATTTTGCCTACTTGCTTTCAGAGCTTTTCAAAAGATGCCTATGGGTTTCCAGGTATGAGTGCAAGTACAGTATTTCTCCAGAGAGCTACAGCACTCTGTTTTAGTAGTTATAAAAAGCCTTTTATCTCAGGTTAGCAACTGGGAATTAGGGTAATCAAGTAATCAGCATAATGGCTTTGGAATTATAACAAAAAGCAGTCTCACATCTCTCCCACTTCTCCAGTTTACTGGTAGTGAGTTACTGGTTTAATCCCAGTTGAATTTCAATGAACCCTTGTGGATTTTAACCTTACCCACAGTAGTCCTAGCCCAAATGGTTTTCATTGCCCTCTGGGATCTATCCTGCAGTTCCTGGCACAGCTCCCGGACACTGGTGCATTAGAAGGGATTTGGGGGGGCCAGCAGTGCCTATGTGGGATAACAGTGGGCAAGCAGCTTGTCTCAATGTGTCAGTACTTAGGCAGCTCAGGAGAAAAGCCATTCTGTCAACTGGCTGAAAGCACATCAAATCCCAAAGATAATTAGCTGGCTGTGAAGGCATTTACAGTGCAGTGTGTGTAGGTGCGCGTTTGGGAGGGAGGGGACATGGAGCTTTGCTGGATGGCGAGCACCTGACATTTACATCCCTGCAGGTGAACAGGGTGTTTCTGAGAAAATTGCTCAAAGTGTTCTAGGATTTTACCCCTTATGGAGCAGACCTGAATGTACATAGGGGACTGCCATGTGCGTTTCAGCCTGGAAGACCAGTTTCAGCTCCTGAGCACCTGCAGGAGCCTTGTACAGACCGTGAGGATTTACCAAAAGCCATGCTAACCACTCCAACCCCGAGGGCTTTTTTTTTGGCTGTTTATTTGATGAGTGTTAGGATTTGAAAAATATTTGCGTTTCTTTCGAAAATTAAGTAGAGATAACTGTGTTGGAAGAGTGCTGCACTGGGCAGGGCAATGAGGAGGTGGAGGTACGACCTGAAATGCAAAAAAGAAATCAAGTCTTCTGATTTGTCTTGGTAGGACATTTAGAGTCCAACTCAGCTCCTCTTAAATATTGTAGTAACATAAAATTTGGAGCTCTTCACAGCGTAGTCCATCTGTTTTGTATGTGATAGCTCCATAATATGTGAAGAAGAAATCAAAGATACCATTCACCTGTTTTTTCTTGCCTTTTTACCTTGCAGACACTAAGTTGGTGAGGCATGCTGTAAAAAAGCAAGAGCAGAATAACATATTTTATTTTAGAATGGAGATTTATAAAGCCTGATATCTCTGTTTATCTTCTAGTTAGAATAATGCAACTGTTAAAATGGGAATATGTTGTTTTCCTTTGAGGAAGTAAAATTAAAAGCTCTGGAAGATGCAGAAATATTGAGATACGGTCCTTAACTACACGTGTATTGCAATAACATATAACTAATGAAGTGTTCTCTGTATGGGCTGGGGGAAGTTTGTGCTACACCACATTCCAATGTCACTTTTTTCTTTGCTTCAGGAACCCCAGTTTGGTTCTACATGCAAATTGCACCTATAAGAAATGAGCATGAAAAAGTGGTTTTGTTCTTGTGCACTTTTAAGGATATCACTTTATTCAAACAACCAATTGAAGATGATTCAACAAAAGGTAAATATGAAATACATTATTATTTTGTAAATTATAAAAGTGTATGCTTGATCTTTGACCTGTCACAGGGAGATGCCATATCTGTGATCTGTGTCTTGAACTGAGGAAATATTTTGTGACCTGTCAGAGTTTCAATGCCACTTTCCTAAATTATTGTTTAAAATGAAAAAGATAAATCACCATAAGTGGAAATTCCCTGCCAATGTTTTTCGGAGTCACAAACCTTCCTTTCTCTTTGTGATTTCATTACTTCATCACTGCAGCTGGCACTTACTAAAAATTGCATAGTTTTGAGTCATTTGAATGCTGTGTTGTTTTGGGAGATCTTTCTGTTACAGGACTGATGTCTTCTTTTCAGGAAAAAAATAATTTCAGCTCCTTTTGATGAGATATTTCCTCCCTTTCTTGCTCTTGAAGGTGAAATGCAAAGGAAACAGCTGGTTTGAGTCCTCTATTACTGTTCAGGAATGACAACTGCATGGCAGTGGGCATTGTGCTTGTTACTTGTCAGCTGCTGGGGATGACAAGCTGTTTGTTGAAATGCTCTCATCACCCAACAGCCCATGGCCACACCTGCAGCCTCACAGAAGGAGGGAACTAGTGGGAAAGGTGTGGAGGATCTGGCAGCATCCTCTGCTTTAGTTACAAGACATAAGTCCTGTGTCAGGTTTACATGTGTATTGCTTTGGGTAAAATAATGCACGCCTGCATAAAGAAGGACATTATGCACATCCTATCTTCTCTTGGAAGTTGCCTCCTGATGATTAATTCCTGCCTGTGTTTTTCTCTTCACGCTTGAAGAAGACTTGATATCTCACTCTGAGCTGTGTGTGCTCTAAGACGTCTTCTTGAGAATAAAGTTGGTGTCATTTGAATGCAAACAGCATTTAAACTAATTTCTTATTATCTAGATAGCACTTATTATATGTGTTTGGATAACTGAAAAGTCAATTTATAAAGGCAGACGTAAAACGAAAGGCCCCTCTTTGAGCTAACACCAAATATGACAATTTTTTTTTGTCTAGAGAGAGTATTATCCATTAAGTTGTAAGATCCTGATGAAGGAATACATTCTCAACTATTGTAAGCTTTATTGCCCCTACAATTTAGTTATCAATCTGCAAATGTTCTTTATTTTATTTTCAGCTCCATAACGTGGAATTTTTCTGCCTGGAAATAGTTTGAATTTTTTAAGATAAATGCCAGTTAATTGAAAGAACTTTAATAGTAGAGGTCTGAAGGCATGGGAGTGGCTCCTTGCTGCAGTATATATAATACATAGTGTGAGCTCATCAAGGAAAAAGCTAGTCTTTGCAACAGTCCTCTTGTAGGGTTTCCTATTTAATGCTTTCTGGGGAAAACAAGATGTTTCTCACTGAAACCAGCCCCCAAATCCCCGCTTTCCCTGGCTCTGCCCCACTTCCCCCAGTATGTAATTGCACTGAGGAGTGCTTCACTGCAGCAGGACAGAGAAAACATATTGAAGGTGGCTCTCAAATGCAGAAATGATGAATGTTGCCTCCTTTGGATTCTCAGCCCTGGGAGATTCATACTCTGCTGCCTTCCCTGGGGAGGCAGGGATGTGCTCCAGGGGCTGACCTCTTCCCCTCCCCATCTTGTGGCTGAGGAGGAGCAGAATCCCTGGGGCATCCAGTGTAGGAACTATGTATGTTCCTATGGGAAAGAGCAAAAGCAGTGGAATGCATGACTTGTGTACTGCTGTTCTACAGTGAAGGGCACAAGTGGTTAAAGTGCCAGGTATCAATGGTGAACATCACAAAATATTGTCTTCAGCAGCCAGAGAGGTCTGGCTGTATGCTTGAAGAGCCCATACTTTTGTCAAAGTCATACTCTAAAAAAATGAAAAGCCAAACAGAACATCACAGAGGCAGAACAGCCACTTCTCCTAAGTGCCTTTAGGGCATATGGCGGGAGCCTTAAGAATCTGCTCAGGGTGCATTGGTTAACATTGATTAGCTTGATCAGTACATCCAACAAACATCATAATTAAAAGCCACTGACCCGATTTTTCTTCTGCCTTTGCATAAATTAAAGCTTGTATTTTCTTGATATAAGAAAATCATATTCAAATATTTGCACCATTTTACTACGAGGGTGGGAAAACAGCACTATTGCATTACCCTTTGTGTCATCAACTGCGTGGATCTGCCGGATCCCACGGCACTGGGATCACAGTGTATTTGTGTCAGACATGTTGCTATGAGAGATACATAATTCATTGTCCCTGCAGATAACATTACAGTGTGCTTAGAAGCTGCCAGGCCACTTTCTTTTTGAGTTATGAGATTGGTAAACATATACGTTACAATTTAGTGGAGAATTTCTAAAGTTTTGTAAAAAAGCATTTCAGTAAAATACTGCTGCTGAGTGCTGGGATTTGTCATTGAAGGGGCTTTTTTTTTTTTTTTTCCTTTTCAAAAGAAGGATATTTCTTCAGAAATTCTTCCAGGACCATGCAATACATAATACATAAGTAACTATGGTGCAGATGAGTTACTGTGTATTACTTATGGGAGCAGTAAATTTGAGATAAAAAATTCAACAGAAATAAAATATTGATGCCATTATGCAATAATCTCTCTGTACCAATACATTCTGCACTGTTCAAAGGTGTGCTGCTTTGTTGTGAAGCTTCAGTATATCACACTCCTATGAGGTATTTAAATCATACCAGTGGATGTATCTACACTGCAGAGTGTCTGTGTGTCCTGACTCCTGGAAATATATATGGTTGGGTCTGCCAAATCTGCTTGCAGTGGTTGCAGTGTGGTTGCCATCTCATGTAGACCTTGCAAGGGAACAGCAGTTCGGGGGACAGGGAGTGATGCTGAGGATGCAAATTTCTCAGAAGTGTTGAGAAGCTTGTCAGATTTGTGAAAACAGGACAGACAAATGAAGCAGTTGTCTTACTACAAAGCAAACTGCAAGGCTGAAATGGGATTTTTTTCTTTTTTTTTTTTTTTGATATGGGCTTATAAACATTTTTGTTTAGAGGGTCTACAAAAAATGCAGTTGACATCACGGAGACAAGCCACGTGCGAGCAGAGGGAGTTAGAGAGGTCTGGGGCACTGAGACAGATGGTGTGTGTCTCTGCTTACCTGTGTGCTCACCATTTGCTGTGTTAATGCTGAAAGAAGGAGGAGGAGGAGGAGGAGGAGGAAGGGGCTTTGCTTGCCGGAGGGAGTAAAAGTAATGAAAAATTTTCCCAGGTCACCCAGGAGACTGCGAATTTGCCGCAGACCAGAAAGCTGTTGAAACTTACTGGACTGTAAGCAAGGCTGGAGAAAAGGGATATTTAAAACTACCTTCCTCTCATAAAACACAGTGACAGAGATCAAAACCCTTGTTTTCTGAGAGGGTACAAGCAGTTGACACTAAAGATTGGACTGACTTGTTTTCTTGTTACTCATGCTCCTGTCTGTTATTGCTGGGTGATGTGTGGGAGACCTGTGATGTATGGCCATGGAACAGTGACCAAAAAGTACTGTTTTATCCTTGTAAATGGAAAATTACTTTAAAAAGTGTCTAGCCAGTCAAAAGTGTCAAAAGCCCCCAGCAACACAGGAAGAAGCATCAAAGATGATAAAGGAAGGACAGATCAGCCAGCTGGCTGATGTGTTCACTCCTGGGTGAAGGTGCCACCGGCAGTTGTGCAGGACTGGAGGGCGGAGAGAACTCCCTCCATTGGCTTGGTTTATGGTTTATATGGTTCCAGCTTCTGAGTCAGTGGCTGGATGAGCTGTGGATGGTGCCAGGGTGGAAAGGAGGCGTAAGAATTAGTGATAGGGCAGATGACCACTCTCGGTGGTCACTGGAACAGTGGCTTATTTCCTGGTGAAGGAGCTGTGCTGTGTTTTTCTGGTCTCTCTTTCTTTCCTTCTCCTCTTTGGTACCATGAATACTTGTCTGATCTGGATTCAATACCAAGCAGGAGGTCCTACCTGTGGTGGCAGAGGGCCAGATCCCCAGGAGTCCTGGCTCAGTGCCTTACACAGAAGAGGTGGAAGGCCATTACAAGCATATGAAAGATCGTATTATGTATTTTCTTCAAGAGAATAAAGCCCAAAGAATTTTTTTTTATTAATGTTTTTACTGTTGTCAGGTCACAGTTGGATGCTTTTATCAGCTTGCTGAGATTTTATTCTGTCTTTACCCAATGGCCTTTTAAAAACATCTGAAGACTTTCAATTCTTCCAAAGATGCACAGTGGTTATAGTCTTATGTTTATTTGTCGGAAAAAAATGAAGCCATTTTTCTGGGCCCTAACTATTAGAAGGGTGGATGGGGCCACTTAAAATGTTAACACTGTTTGAAGCCAGGAGTGCTGTAGATTATATTGTACAGAAAGTTTAGGGATAGAAAAAAAACTTCTAGCTTTTTTTGGGCTATTAGTGGAGTTTCACCTAGTTGTGCATTGGTTTTATTCCCTTTGTTACCATCAGTGAAGAAAAAATGTGGCCTCTAGGCAAACTTGGATTTTTTTTTTTTGGTCTAGGATTCTCACTGGTTATTGTGAGTCTCTTTTGAGGGAAATACCAGGCTTGTCACCTCTGGAGTGATTGGGAAGTTCTGGAGAATACTGATGGGATGTTGAATTAGGATGCGAAGTTGTGTCATTGAGGCCCCTACAACTCAGGACCGTGTGCTGTTAACAGATGGGATCAGGAGATGTCACAGCAGGACCCTGAAGTTGCCTTTTTTCTTTTCATTTTTTTTATCTTTCTCACTCGATAGAGCCAGACTTTGATAATCAAGACTGTCTGGGACAATGCTATAATGCTTCCAGTGATATAACTCTTTATGGTTATATAACTCTATATAATGATACAACTCTATCTCGGAGTGTGACAGGGCTATAAAAAGTGTAGTAGTTGCAGAAATACGGACTTATGCTTGCTAATCCTTGCTAAGCCTATAATTCTGATCCTTTTTTAACTTTAATAAGTGCAAATTATTAAGCATATATAACTAGTTGCAC